AGCCCACACCAAAAAATGGCAATTCATTCTGAACACCAATCTTTTAAAATGCTACAATTCCACCCAGTTTAAAAATCATTAAATATAACTTCACAAATTCAGCTCACAGCTTCACAAGTTCAGCCCAAGGCAGTGTCCTGTGAGATGTCTCAGTGCCAGGATGCATTATTTATCACCTGGAATGCAGCACGTACCTTCTCAGGCTGGGAGAAGGTTCCTGCATTACAGGGAGTTCTGGGATCCCAGAGTTTGACTGTTTGATCCCAGCTGCCAGTCACCATGACATTCACTTCTGGGCAATACTCCACACACCTGATAGGAGCATCGTGGGCACCAACAAGGCTTTCTGTAAGAAAACACAATATACTGCAACTTCACTGGCCCTACAAAAAGTCAGAATGTGTGAAATAAAGAATAAAAAAAGAACACAACTGCAGCACAAGCATTTTCTGACATTCTAAAGGTGCATTTCTACACCACAAGTCCCTGTAAGGATAGTTCAGTCTTCAGAAGCATAACTTTTGCAAAGATCAGGATTGTTACATTTAAATTTATGTCTCTTGAGCTTAGGGTTAAAGAATTCTAGGCAGTCAGTAAGAGATCTCTACAGGTATAAAGCATCAACTGGTATCACACTGACAAACACACTAACACAGAAAGCAGCTTCACTGACAAACACACTAACACAGAAAGCAACTTCACTGACAAACACACTAACACAGAAAGCAACTTCACTGACAAACACACTAACACAGAAAGCAACTTAAGTTTGTGTACACCAATAATATGACAAGAGAAAGCAATGAGCATCTTAATAAAAATATTAAAACACTTGTAGGAAGCCAGCTATGGCAGAATTATTTGAGCTTTTTGGTACCATTACTGCACATTACTGATTTGTCAAGCCCTGGCTACTGGCTGGTGCTGGTGACTGGCTGAAATTTGCTTTCTCTTTAACAGACAAAATAGTGAGACAAACTAGTTCCATATTTTGCACCAACGAGGCACTGGAACTGTTACTTTCAAGCAATGTTTTCTTAGAAAAAAAAACTGTAGTACAAGGCCAGGCTTGACAAAAGCAAAAGCTCTATATATCCTCTGCCATGAAAGATCATTCTAAATACATCCAAACCATAAACCTCTGCAAAACAACATGCTCAGTTTTAGTTCAGCTTGGCTACTTCCCCCTAACTGTAGCCTATGGCAGGGCATGATTATCATCAGAGAAACAATTCAAGGCATCCTGCAAGCAGCTACCTAACTTCCTGGCAATGCCAAATTCTTCCAGGTTTTTAGGTGGTCCTTATTAGGGTCACTGGTTATTCTGCAGATACTTAAATATCCACCACCCAAAGAACCTGAAGAATACTCTGTGCATGTAAGCACATAAATCTGAAGCTCAGACCAGCAGCTGACAGCATTTAGAATTCAATCTGCTCACCTTGGTCCGTGTTTAAGTCGTGCATTTTCAGTTGCTGATCCAGCCCCCCACTCCAGGCATGGGTAGGATCCTACAAAGCACAAAATTTACCTTATTAAGTTTCCATGGTTGCTCTGCATTCAGCATCCTAAACTCGTAACAGAGGACTTGCTTTTGGAAAGACAGGAATTAAGACACAAATGTTAAGGTTTGACCCAGATTTAAACAGACAGAAACTTCACAACATGCTTAAGTGCTTTGAGCGATATGAACTTCTTTAGTTTAGAAGCAAAACTAAAATAAATTTTAAAAGGCAGATAGAGGCTAGACCAAATAATTTCCATTTCTTCATATTTTAAATGACTAACAACCCAAGTCCCATCTAGATGCAGGATAATCCTAAAACTGATTTTAGTGTTGATCCACAGTACAGCATCAGCCACATGACAAAACATTCAGTGAAAAAAAGCACAGGCAGGCCCCCTCTTTAATTTCAGGGACTGACAATTTCTCATACTTTGGGCACTCTACAGCTGTAAACCAATAATTAAAAAACCCCTCCCACACTTACATAAAAAGCACAGTCCAGGACAGCTCCTGAATGCTGATATTTGAGTCTCATGGTGTTGGCAGGAACATCATAGAGCCGCACAGTTGTGTCCCAGGATGAAACGAGCAGAAACTGAGATGTGTTTGGACTAAACTTCACTGATGAAATCCCATCATCTGGAGTTTGGTTGAGCTTGAACTCATTTGATCCTGTCATCTGCAGACAATAAGGCACAGATGCAATTTTAATGACTGCAAGAACACAGGCCTAGCAAGGGAACAAGACTGACCCCTCTGAAAGGCAGCTCAAAGCAGAGCTCAAAACTTCACTGGTTTTTACACAGAACAGGTTCAGAACACCCACATTTCCCCAAACTCTAAAATTCAAGATGACAATCTCTGTCCAAAACTTCATTAAATGTCTTTCTTTCTCCACAGACAGCTTTTAAATATCAAATGCAACATGAATAAACAACACAAAATTATTATGATCATTATTATAATTTATAAGCTTGGATATTGTTACTTACAAATGTATTTCCCTCACTCTGGTGAGTGTGTGGCTGTGATTTTTGAAGTAAGTATTTATAAGTTATTGTAAACATCAAGAAGTTACTTTAAAAAACATGTATTAGCAGAAAAAAAACTGGATTTGAAAACTCCAAAAAGTGTTGATTTGCTCCTGGATTGGTATGACTGTCACACACTTCCAAGAATTGCAACAGGATCATCTTTTATATAGCTGTGGGCACTGTGCAACTCAGACCTTGAGGTTTCCATAAGTGCTGTGAAATATGTGCACAAAAAGCTGTAAGATTGTTTTCCCCCCTCTCTTAGAATCCAGGTAAAGAAAGGAAAGTTATGTTTTGTGAAGTGCTGAAATGTGGAGTGACCATGGAACTGGGATGTGACCAGGAAAACATAACAGCACTTCAATCAAAGAGCAGTGACCCCAAAGGCAAATGCAGCACTCCCAATCAGGACCAGTTTGCTAAAAACTTCCAAGGGCAGCAGAAGCTATGAACTGCAAATTTCAGCAGGAAAACGGCTCAGACCTTACAAACACTCTAAAAGAAGAAAGTGTTGGTTACACACCCACAAAACAAACAATAAAACAAGCACAGCCTCTTTTCAAGGTTTCACAAGGCCTTCTCAGCACATTTACCTTCTGCTAAAGAGCAGAGCAGTGCATTAGCTCAGGTTTTCTCTAACACTGTCCCAGAATTTGTATGTACAACTGCAAATGTAAGATTACAACTCTGAGAATGAATCAGGAGACAAGGAGCAGATGAACCAAGGGCAAGGTGCAAATTTAGGGCACGGTGGTTCCAGTTCAGTGCTTGTCAGAACTAAACAATCATCAGGCTATGTAATGAAGTGAGGAGCACACATTCCTACACTGGAGAGATTTCCTGAGTGGGAGCTTTGCTGTCTAAGACACCCTACAAAAAAACATAAAAAACACCCACTGTGTCAACATAAAGTGCTATTTCTGCTATTGAAGCATGAAGTGAAGGAGAAAAAAACTCTTTAAATATAGAGAAGCTTCTTTTTAAGCTCCTTTTTTAGCATTGCTGTGGGAACACTTGGGAAAAGAGGGGCTCGAGGTTCTGCCACACATCTTTCTATGGGAACATTACTTGAAATTCAGCAGCACCTGCTGAGGATGTTTCAGATGCAGGTCCAGAGACACAAAACCTAAAGGAATTCAGAACAACTGAGAAAATTAAACTGGACAATCTTATTGCTGTGTTTACTTAGGCTGGAAAACTCAAGCAACAAAACATGAGATTTGAGGTACAAGTTATTGTATTATTTGAGGCCTGGTACAAATTATTAAACAGCCCAAAAACAACTCCAAGAGGCAAAGCCACTTACACAAGAAACCTGGAAGGATGTCCCAAAGATATTTTTAATCGAGAACAATGTTCATAACATCAGAATTTAAGGATATTCTGCCTCTTACATATGGTAAAAAAAAAGAAATCAGACCCAGAGCTCCACATTTTTCACCAAAACAGCTGCTCCACAACCAGGATTGCCAAACCACAGTGCTGTGCCCACCTCAAACAACAAAAGTCCTGGTAAAATGTTGAGGGACCACAAGAAAAAACTTTTAAAAATTACGGAGAAAGCACGTGCTGCTGAAATGGCAATTCTGACTTAACTAGGAGGTTCAGTTTTGGAAAAAAAAAAAAAAAAAAAAAAAGGAAGAAAAAAGATTTAGTGAACAAGCAAGAGACCTATGCTTTTACAGCTCCTCTTGGCACAGGTGTCACTGAGGCGGACGGAGGTGCAGGAACAAAGCAGAACGCTCCGGTGAGAGCCTCGGGACTCCCCTCCCGCGCTTTTATTCAGAAAACATGAAACTCAAAGTACCGTTTTCATGCTGAACGAGCTCCTCCCGCTGCTCCACGGGCCGCCGAAGAAAAGCTTTGGGATTTCGGGCAGCCCCGAGGCCTCGGTCCCTGAGAACAGCGCCGGGATCAGGAAAACGCTGCGGGAAGGGAAGAGAGTGAGGGAAAGGCCTGGGAGACAGGCAGGGAGGGCGCCGCACCGGGGAACGACGGCGGGGCCGGGACGGGAGGGTCAGGCTGTGCTCAGGGTCCCGGATCCCCAACCCCGAACCCCCAGTCCCGATCCCAAATCCCGAATTCCCGGTCCCGGCCTCACCTCAGCCTCACCTCACCTCAGCCGCCGCCGCCCGCGCGCGCGCACTGCCGCCCTCCCCCCGCGATTGGCCGGTTCGAACGCGCGTGGCGCTGCGTCCCGACGTGCGCCGCGAGCCCGCCGCCGCGGGGCACGCCGGGAGTTGTAGTTCGCCGCTCCCGAGCCGGTGGCGGTGCCTTGTCCCCCGTCCCCGGGGGGACAGCACGGGTGCCGCGGGGAAAAGAGGCTGCTGCTGGGCTTTTAGCTGCGTTAACGGATAAAACACGAAATACGAGTTATTACCCCTAAAAAAAAAAAAAAAAATGAGTCCGAAAGGCGGAGCGGCGGAGCGGGGCTGTGTTCCCCAGCCCGGCCGCCGCTACCCCGGGGTGTGGTTCAAACACCGGCTGTGGAGCGCGGGGAGAGCGTTCTCCTTCCCCGCATTGAAAAACGCATTATTTTTCCCTTCGGGTATTTTATTTCTCTGTTTTTCGGGTTTTTTTTTTCGCTGTCCTCGTTGCTGTCGCTGTTACACCCCCGGCGCTCGGTACCGGCCGTACCTCGGAGCCGGTGGCCGCAGTTTAATCGCCACTTGCCGCGGGATTTACTGGTTTTGAGTGGCCCATCGAGGCCGTGTCCCGCGGGGAGCCGTCGAGGATGCCCAGTGCGGACCCGGGCAGCGGAGAGCAGGGAGCAGTCCCCGGTAGCACCGAGCCCATCACCGAAACACTCCGAAAAAAAACAGAAAAAAGGTCCCCGTTTACGAAACTTTTCGGGAAATGCCCTTCATCTCCCAGCCGAGAGAAGGGCAGCGAGCTCCCGTCAGGCTCGGCTGGGATTACCTGCGGGAAACGAGATAAGGATAAAAATTCCGGAAAAATAAACCCTCGGCGTTACAAGTCGTTTTGGCTCTCCCGTGCATCGATCCCTTCCCGGCCCGGCTGCGGGGCACCCCCGGTGCCGGGGTTCCCCTCGGGGACACGCGACCGAGGTGGCAAATTTACAAACGAGGCTTAAAACGCTTTAATTTTTTTTTTTTTCTTTCTTACTTTCTTTAAAAATATTTACAGATCTGAAATAACGCTTTTTTTAATTAATTTTTTTTTTTCTTTTCAAGTGACAGGATGGCAGGAGGGGAGAACGGGCGTGTCCCCGGTGCCCCGGGCTGTCTGTTTGCCCGTCCCTCCCATCAGTTTCGGTGCTGTGTCCCCTCCATGGGGAGCCCGCACGGAGCCCCCCCGGCGGTCCCGGTGCGGGGTCGGGGGGCGCGGGGCTCAGTAGTCGATTTTGTTGTAGAGGTTGTAGAGCGGTAAGGCCGAGATGTTGCTGCCGGGGTAGTAGAGAGGAGCGGGGAAGGCGATGGACCGGGGCACCGGCACTCGGAGGAGGGAATTGTCTCTGAACACCAGCGGCATCCCCACTAGAGTCTGCGCCGAGGCGTGGGCCATGTTGGCCGCCTCCAGCTCGGCCGAGAGTTGCCGTTTCCACTTGTTCCTGCGGTTCTGGAACCAGGTCTTCACCTGGGTCTCGGTGAGCTGCAGGCTGGAGGCCAGGCAGGCCCGCTCCGAGCTGCTCAGGTAGCGCTTCATGTCGAAGGTGGATTCCAGCTGATAGACCTGCGAGCGGCTGAACACCGTGCGCGTCTTCTTCTTGGCGCTGCCGGCCTGCCGGTCCCCTCCGTCGCGCTGCCGGTCCCCGCAGGAAGGTGAGGAGGGTCCCAGTGGCTTCTCCTTCTCGTCCTTACAGTCCTGCTGGGGGGGCGGGAGGAAGGGTCCCCGTTCCCCGCTGCCCGCCGCCGCCGCTCCGCTCCCCTTGGCGCTGCCTGCAACAGAGCGACAGCGCGGGGGTCGCACGGCGGCCGGCACCGGGACCCCCGACGGCCGAGCCCCCCGGTCCGGAGGGAAAAAGCGCCGAGGTGACACCCTGGGTAGGCACCCACCGCCTCTGCTCCCCGGGGAACACACAGCCGACGCCGGGGGAAGCCATCCCCTCCTGGGTATCCCTGTCCCCCTGTTTTTTGGATGGGTGGATGGATGGATGGATGGATGGATGGATGGATGGACGGACAGGTAGGTGTGAGTGTCACAGTGAAAGCAGCTGAGTACCAGGCTTCCCATCCGACACGAGTCGGCAAATTTTACTTTACAACATGGCATTTCATAGACCGTTTATTCAGAAATAATGCTAAAAGAAAAATCATAATAAACATCGTTCTTCCCTCTGCCCGAGCGCTGTAATCAGAATCTTAGAAAACGAGCGTTATCCATCGCACCGCATCCCTCGGGGAAATCAACGGCGGATGGGGTGGAAATTATTTTATTTTTTAAAAAAGTCACCCCATTTTTCCTGGAGTTCCTTCCTCCCCGCTTCACCCACGGACGGCTCCAACACTCTGTGCCCCGAGAGCAGCGAAGGTGCGATGTGCCCCCGCCTCCCTCTTCCCGGCGGGGGCCGGACCGGGGCCGAGCCCTGCGCGGCCCTTCCCGGCCCGTCCGCCCCGTCCCATCCCTCCGGTACTCACCGAGACAGGTGAAGCTGAGGGGTTGGTGCTTGTGGCACGCCTCGGCGGGGCCCTGAGCCTCGGGGCAGAAGCAGCCACGGTGTTTCCAGCTCTCGTCCTGCTCCTCATCCTCCGAGGACAGGGAGAGGGTCCGGGGGCGGGCGGGCCAGGCGGGTGCTCTGTCTCCGGTTTCCCGGGGGGGCTCAGCGCTGCCGCTGCCCAGGATGGACTGGATGGTGAAACTGGAGATGGGAGCAGCCGCCGGACAGCACTTGCTGGGCTCTTCTTTGCTGCTCATCCTGGGTTCATAAGAAAGCAGAGGAGGGAAGCTGTCGCTTTAGAGGGGTCGGGAGGGGGGTGCCCCGGCAGCCTGCGGGGAGCTGTGGGTGGGGGGTGTTTCGGGGGGCGCTTGGGGCGTGCGGCGGCCGGCTCTCCCCGTGCCGACCCAGGCGGAATGCATGCTCCTTCCCCCGCGTCCCTATTGATCTGCGGCCGGCGGGCGGCGGGGCTTCATTTGCATGGAGGTGGCCTCCGCCGCGCCAATCACGGCGGCCACGGAAAGTTTGGAAACCCGCGAGTGGGGAGGCGCGGGGGGATGCGCCGGAGATGGAGGGGGGAACCCCCGCCGGGTCCTCGCCGCTGTCCCCGGGGGCTACGGTGACCCCGCGGTCCCGGAGGAGGGATGCTGGCCGCACGCCATCCCTCCTGCCCTCCGCCTCGAGTGGGCG